TACAGTAGCACAGAGGAGCTACATGGTATGCAAGAGGCTATAAACCTGTTGGTCAAATTTATATACTTGCCCCAGTTCTAAATGTCCATTGCCTTATTAAAATTAAAACATCATACAATTTTGTTGCACAAAACAACCGCATGTATCATTATATCTATATCTAATGTATTGTTCATGTATTAGCCATGCATACCTGGTTTGATTTATGGCTTTTTATCTAGAACCCCTTCCTTCCTTAGTTTTAGTGCTTACAAAACATTGGTATTTTCCTTTCAGTGCTACCTAAGAACAATTTAATGCTCATACTGTCTTGAAATATAAGTGAGAATCTAGAATGGGCAAGTGATAAAATTTCTACGGATTTATTCTTTCCTTTTCTTATACAAGTACTTGGTTTTGTGGATATGATCTGAACTTTTGTTTTCAAAAGCACGTGTAAATGTTTGAATCCATTGTAACTGTTTTAAAAAGTTGATTTAGATATTTCTTTTATTCATTTTTTTACTGATCTGACAATAATCTTGAAAACTATATTAGTAAATTTTAAATATATGCTTGATGTTTTCCTTCCTTTCCTACTTTTCTTTCATTTGAGACTATCTTTACATCTAATTTCAAGTTACACTGAGTGAAAAGCAAAGCTATATCTGATAGTATGGTGCCTCCTATAAGTACAACACAAGACTTTCTAAAGACTTCCAACAAGTCAAAATAAGTAGTGGCTCCAAAAAAATGAGTTGTGTAAGCTTTCTTTGGAAGATGAAAATGTTCTGGTTATGAATTTTGCTTTAAAAATGGATTCTCTGTTCTCCTCTTATGCAACATGGTCTATTCTGTTGCTCTGTATGTCTAAATATGTTTGACTTTTAAATGAAGTGTAAGGGAAATCCATACTCACCTAATGGATTCTGCATGCTTGTGTGTTTCTTCTTGGCCAGCAAAATAATAATACTTGGTATTTATAACATCATCTAATCATCAGGTTTCAAGAACACTTTTCAGATACTTCTAAACAAAACTTTTGCAACAGAGGTAAGCAATGTGTGTTTCCTTGTACTCACACATGGCAGACAACCAAAGCATATAAAGTTTGGCTATGTTAAAAATTCATCTCACTTATAAACATATTTTGAAAAGAACTGTACATAGTCTGTGCTCTCACATGGCATCCCTCTTATAGTAGCTGTTGAGCACTGCGTGCTTTTGAAACTATAGCTACTAGTTATAAAAATAAATGGAAATTGAGATCTTTTGAAGTCAGTCGAGGCTCTTGAGCACATTAGACCTAAAACTCCCTGTAAAATATGTTAAAGTAAAACCACAAGACCTAGTTCCTATCCCCAAGCATATTTTTTTCAGAGAGGATTTCAAAAATCTTCACCCTCTGTGGGTCAAAGAAATATAGTTGTGCATTTGTGATAACGTGAATTGTTCAACATGATTCTGTCTCCAGAAAACATCTCTGCATCCAAATACAGTGCGTGAATCTATTTTAGATAGTACTTGCAACATGGCAAGAAAAGTTTCCAACAGAATTCAACAGAACAGCCAAATAACTTCTGCCCTTATGAAAACACAAACCTTCTTTTTGAGAATGGAGTGCACTTGATACTAGATATACTACATGATAACAAGCTACTTGATTTCTAATGCAGTTAGAATTTTATTTTATTTATTTTATTTTATTTTATTTTATTTTATTTTATTTTATTTTATTTTATTTTATTTTATTTTATTTTATTTTATTATTTTTTTGCTGTTGTTGTTGACACATTCCTGGACAGACTACAAAATCACAGAGACGGGTCAGAGTGTATTCCAGTACTCCAGTGTCTGGGAGATGGCAAGAAGACATTTAAGCCTCCAGAGTCATATGTATATATGTGTGTATATATTCTCTGCCAGCCTTCAAACACAGAAGTCTTGTTTGAGTCTGCTTTGAAGCATTTGCCATGGGTAATTTAAGCCAATAGAAGGAAAAATGTTAAATAACAGAAAATCATATTGGAGTAACATATGCAAAATAATCAGTTACATTTGAAAACAGCTATGATTGTAATTTTTATGAAGAACAAATACAAAAGTAAATGAGATTTAGTTTTGAAGCTCTATTATGTTAGTTGTATCTTTATGTCCAGTAATTTGAATGTTTTTACAGTCTCCAAAGCATTTATCATTATTATCCAACTTTAAGATTGTTTGTATCAAAAGTCATTTTGTTAGATTTGTTATGTTTCAAGATGTTCTGCATTATTTTGCTCAAAGTATTATTCTACGTTGGCCAAGGGAGACTCTGAAAAAAAACTACACTGAGAACAGAAAAACACTAAGCCTGATAACATAAGATTGCAATGTTAACAGCACTTTCTCAAAGGACATCAACATCTCAGCTTTTTCTCCTTTCCCTTCTCTCCTTTATTGTCTCTCAAGCCTAACTAATTCCTAATTTTATGGTACTAAATATCTACAAAATATTATGTAAAGTCTTTGTTATATTTGAGTATTGGAAACTTTGAAGGAAAATGACACAGAATTAAAAATCTTAAAGAATCTTTGACAGAAAAGGAGCAGAAGAAGAGTAGAGTGGAAGCTGGACAATTTTAACTTAAGTAAAGATTTTAGGAAAAATACAGATTATTTTTCCCTGAAAACGGAATTCAGTCAGGAATATAGTGTTCTGATGAAAATTAGTGTTCATTTAAAGAACTCTGCACTGCATTTGTTCCATTATACCTAATAGCATACAATCTCTTAGTATTTTAATAAATATTTTATTCTAAAATATTGTTTTCAGATTTCCATGGGTAAAATTCTGCAGCCTTTACTGGCTCTATTTTAGACAGTAAAAGTGAAATTTTAAATTGGGAGTTTGAGGTGGGTTCTAGAAGGATTTCTACTTTGAGGTGGGTCTCTGAAAGGATTTCTACTTAAAAGGTATGATAGGAGTTCTTCTCAGAGTTAGCCCTAAAATAAACCCCTTTTTTCTCCTCTCTTGGGGGGAGATAGCCAAAATCTGAGAGGTCTGTAACTACTGATTTCTGAGAGGTCTGTAACTACTTTTCATGTTCATTCTACTCTTTTATGTTCTCCTGGTATAAGTAGTAGGAGATTTTTATTTTCTGAGACATATTTTCCTGCTCTAATGCAGTATAGTGGTCCCAAAGGCCACAATTGCAAAAGTAGCATTACTGAGTGACAGTTTTCATAACCAACTGTGAAAATAAATAAGAACTTTCAAGAGCAAAAATGCAGTGGAAGTTCCAAAGGGGTCTTGGTAAATAGCATTATTCATGGCCAGGTACAATGTTTTATATTACTTTCCATTACTTTTCTAAGACCAAACTGTTCTAATTGTCTGGGTAGACTTTTTTTTTTTCTTCCAGCTGAGGCAAAAAAAAAATAACCAAAAAATTTCACCATTCTTTTAGTTAGGAAAAGCACAAAAAAAAAAATAACTTGGAGTTGTGTTCCATTGCTACTGTAAACAAAGCAGCAATTGGGGAAAAATAAAATAAAGAAACCTTCTAAAGAAATGCTGTAGAGAATGGTTCATTGTCAGCACCAGGCTACATTTCAAATGAATGACAGATTTTGGAAGAGATGTGGCGTAACACCCCTTTTCTACAGTGTGCTCTCTGCAGCTGGCAGGGGGAGTGCCCTCATCTGCTTACTATTCACTTTCACTGTTAGGATTGCTGTAAATTGGCTATAAGAATGTGGTAAACTATCTGTCATTGACATGTTTGTATGCTACAGATATATTTAAGTTTACTGCTTTTCTACACACCATGGCTATACAAAAATCTTTTACTTGGTTATCCAATATTTTCATGTCTGTCATATACTTAAGACATGCACATATAACTTTATATCATATATAAATTTATTTCATAACAGAGAAATGACCTCTTTGTCATGCTTTTTTGATGTTTGTGACAAGACAGACAATAAATGCATTAATCCTTAAAGGAGAGAATTATTTTCCCAATAAAGATACTTAGCAATCTTAGAAAAGAAGATTTTTTTTTCCTCTCAATAGAAATAATCACTTTAAAAAATCCAAATATCAATAATACAAATTATTGTTTTATTTTTAATATTTCAATGTTTTTAAGGGCAGAACAATTTTAAAGAATTGTCTGATTTTAAATCAGTTTCTGAAATGCAGCATCTCCTTACAAAATCTCCTCCATTAGTCAGAAATCTCTCCTTAATACAGTGAACTAAAGTCTAAATTCCCCATCCACCTCACCTTCCAAGTCCTTATTCTATCCACCTAACCTTCTGCTTCTTGGCTGTCAACTTCTTCGTCTTCCTCAGCTGTAGCAGTGACTTTATGCTTTCCTCACAAGAAAATTTTAACAGAATGGCATTCAGACCAAGTTCATTTGATTTGTTTCTATCCACTGCATATATAGAATTTACAGGCTCATTTACAGGCTCATTTTTGAGATAGTTTCATTTCCTAGAATGTGATCTATTGATCTTCTTTGAGGTTGTTTTTCTCTTACATAGTCACCGTGTTAGAAAAGAAGAAAAGCAAGCAATCCACACCATCATCCCAGTAGGGCACTTTGCAGTCCGTAAGGCCTTAGGCAGGGTTATGAGGAAAGACATGCCTGTCATACATCAAAACCTTGTAGACTGTTTCTGTGATCCATCTTTAACCTACATTTTCCCAGAAAAGTCACATAAGTAAACTGCAGGGTTTAGAAGACAGTATATGCAGCTTTTGGAAATGTTTGAGTATGACATACTATTACTATATACAACTGCACATATTACAAAGATAAGCTGAGACTATGAAATTTCATCCATTTTTGGTTGGAATGTTTATTATAGTTTTTGCAATGAGATTCCTGTTAGTGATGACCAGTTGTAGCTAAAAAAAACAGGTATTTCAGATATTTCCTTTAAAACTTAACTACAAAACTGCAGAATTCATTATGTTGGTATGTTTAGGAGATTATACTCTTCTCATTCCACACGACATCCCTAAACCATCTCATTTTTCACAATACACAGAAACACAAGTTGAGTATACACCTCCTGTATTTTCTGATTTGTTTTGTGTTGGTTGTTTTGTGTGTGTGCATGTGTGTATGTGGTTAACTGTAAAAGAGATTTTATATTGCTTCAGTTCTCCTAATTTATAAAAATGTATAAATCTTTTCCAGAGATAACTTTAAATAAATTTAGTATTTGTGAATTGTTTGGTATCTCTGACAGAAATGTACCTATCTTTTTTTCATTCAGAGAACAGAAGCAAAACAGATCGATCAACTCAAGCTATTGCTTATGATGATTCATCCAGCCACACAAGGTAACACAAGATTTGTTTTATGATTACAGTTCATGGAATATTTTACAGAACCTTTTCCTGTAGTAGTATTGCTAACCCCATAACTTTTGCTGGGACCATAGCATATGTTTCAGAAAAATGTCCTGGATTGTGTACTACTCCAATTGCCAATAGTGCAGTTGTGTATCAACATGGCATAGCATACCACCATATGGACATAGTCTTTTTACACATCTACTTATAGTTGATCATATTATTCTAGAGAGATCTCCATATTAATGCAGCTAAACTCTATCATAATACCTGAGTTAGTTCATTCAAAGACTGCTTAAGCCTTTTTCAGAAATCATACAGCAATTACCATGTAAAAATACTTCAAGAAAGGGATAGTTGCAAATTTTTTTTAAGGAAGGTTTACTTGATCTTTTGTCATTTATAGCTGTAATTTTTTAGGAAAATCCAGGGAATGCCATCCTAGATTACTGATAAATGTTGTCCTTGGCAAGTTTCTGGAAGAATGATGGAATGTATATAATTATGTGTTTTATCATATAAATATTTTTTAAACCCTGAAATACTACTACTAGTCCAGATCTCTTTAAAACTTTTCTGTTTGATGACTCACAGAAAGCTTCAATTTAGCTGTTCAGAAATTTTCACTATTGTAACACTAATTCCAGCGGGTACTGTACCTACTTTGAGCTGAATTAAATTTTGGGCTAACTGCCACTCTATAAACTTTTTATAATTTAGCTGGATTTTCTCCACAAATTAATCTGTTTCATGTAATAGAAGGTCCTGATACAAGCTATTTTGTTTCTGGAACTTCAGTGACATAAAATATTTGCAAATCTGTCTCCCAGCACAGAAGAATTCAGTGTCATGGGCCTCCAAAAGAGGCAGCTGTAAAATTTTTATTTTTTATTTATTTTTTATCTTCATACCTAAGTATAATATGCTGGTGTTAGAGCTCATAATAACTGTTATGACTTATCAAGGGGTCACCTGATGCTATCTTAAACTATTCTTCTGAGACTTACTGGTCCTGTGAATGGATAGATATGGGGGAAAGAGGGAAATAAAAGTGTGGCAGCACATCCAGTTTTGCATATTACAGTTTCTTAGGGTAACAGATTCTTACTGTCAATTAAGATATCATTAAGTTAATTAATAATCAATGCCAATTAAGATATTTCTTACCTTAAGTGATGTGTATTATTGTTGTGGTTTTTTTTTTTTTTTTTTTTTTTTGATTTGAAGATGTTTGTTCCTTCCAGAAAAAAGCTAGATTCATGTTAAACATACAAACCTTTGTTGTGTGTATTAGAAATGATGAGGATAACTTAGAAGTAATTCTAGTGAATGAATGGCATTGTATCAGAGTAAAACCAGAGTGAATTCTGAATCAGGCTATTTGGAACAAGTAAACACTGTATGTGAATTTGTAGCCCAGATTGCACATTTCTACCTCCTGAGTATCTCTGGCAGCTATCTTTGTGTTTGCTGCTCTCCAATCAGCATCAGCAAATGTAACCACTTAAACTTAATCCTACTGTCCAGATCAGTTATACAGATAAAAGGCAGTAGAGATCTGAGTCTTAATCCATGTGGGACACACTTAATGCTTCCCTCAGAGTGGACATGGTTTCACTTACCAGCATTGTCTGTTTTCTATTTCTTACACTAGTTCTTTATCTATTTCTGTGTCTCATAAAGAGTACTTGCAAGCTTCTATCTTAGGCAGGTATCAATTATATCGAATTAAGCACAGGCTGTTGAAAATTCAAATGCTCATAGCATATGTACTGTCATTTTCAACACTGTTGGTCTTGCTTTGAATTGGAGGGGAAGTGTAATAGGCAGCAGTTTTCATTCATAGTTACAATACTGTTTATTTCTTACTTCATTAGGAAAAAAACGGAAGTCAGATTAGCTGCAAAGTACAAAAACTATTTGTCAGGAATTAGAGATATACAGAAACTGTGAAAGTCCTGCATACAACCCTGCAGATGCTTATTAGCAAAAGCTGGTATCTGTGACTAAAGCTCAAATCCAGAGTGCAGCAATTCTTAGTAAGCCATCTTGCTGGATGAAAGCTCCATGAGAAACAAGCAGGTGAGATTCAGGGTGGGAAAAGTTGTTCTAGAAGGTGCTCCAGAGACTGAGTACACTTTAGTTACGTCATACATTACCAAGAAAAATTTGATTAAGTGCTGGTCTTTTGTCTTACAAAAAAAAAAAAAAAAATTAGGGCTGTCTGTCTGCTTAAGTTGTTTCGAAAGGTGCAGGTCCACTGCAGTGCTTTTGTCTGCTGTCTTTAGCTATTCCTAATCGGAGGATGCTGTTTTACCTTCACTTGTCAGAAAGGAGAACAGAAAACCAAAACCAGTACCTTGCATATGTGTACCTTCCCCTGTTTGATGGTCACTTAACTCACCTTCTTTCTTATTTATTGGTATTAACCATAAGAAGCTGAAGTAACTTGCACTATTTTTTCCTACATAGCATTTTAATGACTTCATGATTGTGTAACTTTCAATCACATTTCACAGAATCACAGAATCACAGAATTTCTAGGTTGGAAGAGACCTCAAGATCATCGAGTCCAACCTCTGACGTAACACTAACAGTCCCCACTAAACCATATCCCTAAGCTCTACATCTAAGCGTCTTTTAAAGACTTCCAGGGATGGTGACTCCACCACTTCCCTGGGCAGCCTGTTCCAGTGTCTAACAACCCTTTCAGTAAAGAAGTTCTTCCTAACATCTAACCTAAAACTCCCCTGGCGCAACTTAAGCCCATTCCCCCTCGTTCTGTCACCAGGCACATGGGAGAACAGGCCAACCCCCACCTCACTACAGCCTCCTTTGAGGTATCTGTAGAGAGCAATAAGGTCGCCCCTGAGCCTCCTCTTCTCCAGGCTGAACAAGCCCAGCTCCTTCAGCCGCTCCTCATAGGACTTGTTCTCCAGGCCCCTCACCAGCTTCGTCACCCTTCTCTGGACCCGCTCAAGCACCTCGATGTCCTTCTTGTAGTGAGGGGCCCAAAACTGAACACAGTACTCAAGGTGCAGCCTCACCACAGCCAAGTACAGGGGAACAATCACTTCCCTAGACCTGCTGGTCACACTACTTCTTATGCGAGCCAGGATGCCGTTGGCCTTCTTGGCCACCTGAGCACACTGCTGGCTCATATTCAGCCGACTGTCCAGCATCACTCCCAGGTCTTTCTTAGGCATTCTATGAAGAACAATTCAAGATGGATATTGTATAAAGGTAGGTTTTGGCATAAGGTGTTATTTTCCTTCCATTTTGTTCTGGAGATACCAAAATAAGCACAAACCTTTAAGACACATGAGAAAAGAAAAAAAGATTAAAACAAAAACAAAAACAAAAACAAAACAAAACAAAAAACTGACTGCTTTACATTTGGTCACCAGTTCAGCTTTGCAGTTCTAATTTTATCCCAGTAATTTCTGACTATCCAATTTTTGCTCAGAAAGCACAGGACACTCTGTAGCAAACCCATGGCTTATATCAAAGTATTCATCTTATATAGTATCTTGAAAATCTGATTCCTATAAAAGCAAAATCATTACAGAGATTCAAATGCTATGAGGATAGAACCAAGAGCACACAGAGGTTGTTTTCCATAGAAGCATAAAAGGGTTTTAAATCAATTTCAAAGTTCAATACCCTCCAAGGGAGTGTAATGAAGGAAGTACATGCAGTAACTCTGCTTTGCCTCAGAATATTATGTTAGTTTGCTGCTTCACTTTGGAGACTTCAGCCTTGCAGGTTCTAGATGGGTAACTAACTGGAGTACAATATGGAAACACCTGAGAAGGTCACAGTAGATTAGACTGTTCTGCCTTCCTAAATTTTCACCAGATACACTTGGTTCTTATGGTCAATGAATAACACCTTTTAAAATGACTTAATTATCCAACAAGGACAGGAAATAAGATGAATTATAGATATACAGTTCACACATTCAGCTCATTCAGCTATGACCAGGTAGTTGTTTCTGATAACTTTCCTAAGCTTTTGTTCCAGCTTTTTCAAAGGCAGTAAAACAGGGGTACTGCAGGTGGCAGGGGTGGTAGAGAAATAGTTTGAGTTTAAAATAAATGATTTAAAATCATTTTTGTCCAAAATTTTGTGGCAGGGGAAGGAAGATAAATGGAGATTTTTACCAAGATGCTTTGAAGATATTTTGCTGTTTGAAATGTCAGAAGGAATTCTATTAGAGGCACTATGAAGTAAAGGCATTCTAAAGTGGTACAGAAAACATAAAGAAGTGTAACTTATTGCAGACAGGTTAAAAAGCAGGCTACAGTTCAGTATATTAAAATTAATGAGAAATATTCCTTGTTTACTATGTATGCCACTGTGTACCAATAAACACGTTATTAGGAATTCTAGCAATTCATTGGCTTTTATTCATAGTACTCACCTTAATAAATATAAAGCATTAAATGCCTTCAGTTAGGTGGTGATGCTAAGCTAACAGCCTAAAAATTTTATGAAATATTGCTTTGTGGGAAATTAGTCAGCACACACATAACTGTTATCCTTCTTTTTTAAATACTCTACTAGTATTATTTTTTTAACATGAAATAACTTTCTTATTAATCAGAAATTAAATGCTTATCAGAGATAGTTAATCTGAAATGTTATTGATTCACCTAGCTAAAATCAAACTCCATCCTTTCCAGTGGCTAAGAAATCTAATTACCATATTTTAAAAACATTCTAGTCAATTTAATTTTATAGTAGTGCTGAATTGCCTTCTCTTTTCTTATCTTCATTTTCTACTTTGGCCTCACTGTTCTTTGTCTTTTACCTGGCAGTCAAGGTAACACAGCAGCTGTAGGTATGAATTCTTTGCCAAGTTTCTTCACAAAACAAAACAAAACAAAACCAAACCACTACTTTTAATCTCTGCTGTTAATATATATCACCAGGAATACCTGTGGGGTATAAATATGTCAGCTTTGAGCATGTCTATAAAAATAGAT